ACAGTGTCACGACACGGTGTATCGTCGTGCCGGGCGGCGGTTCCGCGTGTTCTTTTTACGTTCGGGCATAGGTACGTGTGTCCGCTTCGTTTGTCGCAAAAACAGCAGCATCGTCGGCGGATAGCCGAGTGTCCCGGGCGTAACGCCCGGAGACGTCGGGGCCGGCGCCTCAGTCACCATTGACGTCGACATCGTCGTCGCCGCAGTCTTCGATACCCCGCCATCCGAGACGTTTGCGATATCGTCCCCGCGCTCGCTCGCTCTCTCTCTCTCTCTCGATTCAACCTGAGCGAGCGAGAGAGGTGGTCGGCGCGCTACACCGCGAGAGGGAGGGAGAGAGAGTGAGCGCAACACGGGGCTCTCTCAGTCGCCCGGCGAGTGGAGCGCCGAGTCCATGGTGCGTGGTGGTTATGGTTCCGCGGCTAGTGAAGACCGCCAGTGATAGAAGCAGCCGTGAAGTGTGCTCGTGAGAGTGCCGTGCTGGGAGACACACGCGTGCATAACACGTCGGGTGTACGCGAGAGACGGACAAACGGCGAAACGCGGAGCGACCGTCTTCGTTGTCGCTGCCGTTGTCACCATCATCGTCGTCGCCGTCGCCGTCGTCGCCGTCGTCGCCGTCGTCGTTCGTCGTCAAGTAAACGAGAAGGAGAAGCAAAGGGAAGAAGCGCAACGAGGGAAGGCAGCGAGAAATAGAGCGAGAAAAGTTTCCTTTGACAGAGGGACGAGAAGCATCGTTGTGTAGCAGAGAGAAAGGAAGAGAGAGAGAGAGAGAAAGACAGCGAGAAAAAGAGAGATTTAGACGAGGAGAGAACAAGAGAAAGAGAGAAGGAAGGAGTAACGAGCGTGTGAGTGAGACGTCGATCAGCGAGGGGGCGCGCGGGGGCCGCAGCGCGCGCGCGCGCGCGCGGGCGCGGGCGGGTGGGCGCACGAGACACCCGAGATAGAGTGAAACCGAGACGAACGGAACGGCGAAACCGACGGACGGCGGACGGCGGGATTCGCGGAACGGGAGCGAGTGTAGCGCGCGTACCGCGGCGGGATTCGGGGCGCTTTTCGAACGGCGACGGACCCGCAGCGGTAGCGGCGGCGGCGCGGTCGTAAACAACGACGGCGACGAGGACGACGTCGTCGCGGCCGTCGGCGCCGGTCGCACGGTCGCTCTCGCGACTAACTCGATCGTCGCGAACCGTCGTCGTCCGTCCCCATCCGTATCGCGATCGTCCTACCTCTCGCTCAATTCCGCGACCGCCACCGCCACCGCCGCCGGCACGACCCGAGAAGGTGACGACGGGCCCGGACAGCCACCGTTAGACGTGGAAGGAAAAAACGGTGAGGAAGGCGATCCGCGCGTGTCCTTCCCGTGGTGTGTCATGGGGTGTTTCGGCAGCCAGAGCAGTAAGGCCAGTCAGGATGATAGCAAAAATCAGAAGAGGCGATCCGACGCTATCACCAGACAGCTGCAAAAGGACAAGCAGGTCTATCGAGCAACGCACAGGCTACTCCTGCTCGGTGAGTAGATATCATAGATATCGCGCGTCTCTCTTTTATCCTTTTCAACTCGGGAGTGGTCAAGCGCGCGGAACGAGGAATACGTGTAATCCGCGTCGTTCCGACAATTTCGTCGAATAAATTTCGAAATATTCGATAAATATCTCTTTCGCGTGCGCGCGCGCAGGCACGTATCAATCATAACCCGATCGAGACCCGAGCTCTCGTATATAACGTGATTCGATCGACGCGGAAGGAAATTATAAGCGCGCGCGTTTGGATTCGAGCGTAATCGATATCTAGCCAGTGCGCTCCTCCCGTGTCCTCTCGCTCGAATCCAGCGACGCTTTTTTTTAATCTCACGGGATGCAGTCGAGTTTTTTAATTAAGGTAGTCCAAGAGGAATCAGCGGAACGGTGGGGCTTGGGGAACCTCACGTCTGGGAGGGGGCTGGGTGCTCCGAGGATAATTCTCGTGTCGGCGTTCCTCTCGTCGCGCGTTATCCGCGCGTTCGTGAATCGAGGCGCGTTAAATATCGAGTAGGACCTGATGGCCGCTGATGGTCGTCGGTTTCGGACAAAGCGAGCCTCCGCGAAGCTGGGGGTGAGCCGACCGGCCGACCGCTATCGCGATGTTCAGCGGCGCGTAATTCAATTTTATCGATTATCGTACGAGCAAGCACTCACGAATATTCAGTGACTGCCTCGTGTGTTTGTACCCTTTTCGTTGCTTCTGATCCTCTCTTTCATCCCCCCCTCCTCTCTTTCCTTTTACATATATGTACACCACACACACACACACACACGCACACACACACACACACACACACACATTCTTCTTATTCTTTTGTCTCATAGCTAGTAACTACAAAATACTGTATTCTCTTTATATTATGTCGTTAATGGCCATGCCTTATATAACAAGATATATTGCTCTTTTCTCTCCTTCAATGATTTCTAAACCACATTTAAACGGAAATTATATAAGTAACCTTTTAGTACGTTTGTGTGCGATATCAAGTTTAGTTTCTAATGTATTAATATTGTCGATACAAATGTTTGATGTCAAAAACTTTGTTTTCTGTTTCGATGCAGAATATTTTTTTCGATATATATTTTCATCGCTTTAAGCTTTGTTTCATCTATACATCTCTTTTATCGAAACTTTTTTCAAATCATAAACTAAACCAACAAATTTCTTTTTTTTCTGCTTTCTACTTCTCTACAATACTCCATTTGCAGATAAGTAATTTTGTAACTTTCATACTTTTATATTCTTGTATTTTTTATTGCATAATATTCATTTTAAATTGATCTATGTTTTATAATGCTTTTTAATTTTAAAGTATTATAAAACATAT